ATGTGCCACTCATGCGAAATGCTTGTTTTAGTCTACCCATTGCATAAATGATGACGGCTTCTTCTCATGAGATCGCTGCATTGCAATGCTAGGATTTACCACGAATACGAAGATGAGCCATCATCCGAGGACTAAGGCTGCAGCAGAGCACGACAGGATTCGTGGACTACGTAGGAAACAAAACGGTTGAATGAGGTTTTCTTTACCCCGTCCGTCTTTTCCATCCTCAGGACGTTAAAATCCTTATCCACGCCGCAACCCCCACTCCGGGCTGGACAGGCAACTTTATCTCATGCGGGCTGCTCCCTTGGAGCGGCACCGTTGCTCCCGAGGGAGCGCACCCCGTTGCCGGGTGCAGAGAGTACCTTTTTTTTTGGTGGCTGGTCGGCTTGTCCATTTGGACGGACTCAGCCCCGATGACTCTCTAGGGTGCCTGCCAAAGCCAATGTCTCCCCCTAATTCCTATCATCCACCGGCTCTGAAATGGTCGTTTTAGACCGAAAGGACCTAACCCAATAAAACAAGATGTTTTCTGGTCGTATTTCTTTGGCGATCTTTAATTTTCTATCCATGATCTTTGTTTCCGCTCTTTGGGCGAAAGGAAGGTAATTGTTTCTATGCCATAAGCTGACATTCCATTGTGTCAAGTGCCAGACGTTCCAACAGGCCTAACCAGGTGTGCTAACAGGCAAAGGAGAGATCTTTAGAACCCAACTTTGTGGTTTCTTTCGCTTTCTTTGTCTCAGTTTTGAAAAGCTGCCTGAGGTAAATAGTCTCAGCAGGTTTATGGATAAAATTCCAAAGGCAAAAGAAATAAGCACGATACCTATACACTGATCAATGACCATGGCTGGCTATTGGCTTAGGCTAGCGTCAGTTTTGAATAGTGAAATTAGTGTAAGATCATAAGAGACATAAAATACAATAATTGCATAGAAATAAGTAAAACATGCGCCGTTTTTTTTTTAGCTACCAATTACTTAGGCGCACAGTATAAGAGCAAGAGCAACTGCTAAATGTACTGCAGTTTATAAACTGTATTTCACCTGGTCCTCTCACGTTTCCTTTTATTTCAGCAACTATAGCAGTGGCGAAAAATGCAGCAATAATTTATAAGGCGGCATCCTGACTTACCTCACCTGCATTAAAGGGACACTCCCACCTTAACATTAGTTTTGAGTTGAGATAGCCAAATTGGTGGCCATGGCCTGCAAATACCGGTTTGGGCACTCACAACATCGAAAAATGCTTTAATTCGAAGATATGGAATTTCAAACTTGCAGTTTTCGGATTCTAAGGGGCTAATGCATTGGAATGCTCCCTTAGAGTTTGTGACGTCAGCGGAGATCTAACGATTTTTAAATCTTAGACTAAAACCATCGTTAACACGTGGTGGTATACGCTGCCTTGCGCGCAACGTCTGCCGCACTTTAAGGCTGCCAAATTATTGCTTCCAAATAAAGTCGCTAGTAACAGGGGAGATCCCAAAAAGTAAACAAAAGTAAAAGCCTAATATCTTGAAAACCAGTGAATATTTTTCGGTGAAATTTGGTAGATATTCGTTTTCGCTCTTTCTGAACCAAGGGACATCACTTTCATGCCAATTCATTAACTTTTTTGAAGGTGGGAGGGTCCCTTAAGTGCAACGGAACGGCAGCTGGAGCGGCGCGCTGGTTGCGTGTTTACGCGTGGACATCTGCGGCTTAATCCGGTTAAATGGCGGCCGCCGAAACAGCTGCATTTCAATTATGCAGTCAGATTACGGACCATCGTTGTCACCTAAATCAGGCCGGATGGCCGGCCGGCCACTTCTGGACGGCGAGGTGGCTCTACATATACGACCCGGCAGCCACCCGGCCCCAGATGTGAGCCTAATTGGCCTGAGCTGTAAAACTGAATACTGTCAATGTTATTATCCATAACCTTTGAACCAAATGGAACAATACTATTGCATTAATTATGTTAACGTCGTTACGTTTGTTCATTATTTCAACTCAAACACTGGAATTTGACTCTTAAACACAGGCAACTGTTACCATGCCTCTGGTATGCTCGAGTGCTCGCTCACAAATATGTACGGAGCTACCCACTAGAAATGATTAAAGGTCAAAACCACACAGCAACTGACTAAGTTCCATTACAATCTTGCGTTTGACTACATTTCACATCAACATTCTTGGAATAGGAATGTGCAGTGTGCGCTGCTCATAGTCCTGAACCGGTACCGGAAGCTTACGCTCCGATGGACAATTACCTAAGTCGAATGCCGGCACTGGAATCGCTTTATTTCTCCGCATTGCTCAAACGCGTGAAGTCATGCACTGCCGACGCCGCTCAAATGGAGCTGGTTTCAGTTGCCATCATCCTGAATGATGCCATGTCATACCGATTCTAATGTTAAATGTTACCGATTCTAATTAAACGTGAAACTATATAATTGCCACGTCAACTACACAAAGCATCACTAACACTCCTTTTGTTGGATGCCACGTACAGAGAAACGCATAATGCATTCTTGTATTGACTTCTCGTAGCTTGTTCAGGTGCACCCGCAGTAAAAGAGCTATGAAGTTGTGATGGATTCGATGAAAAACATCAACCTATTTTGATTACTTTTCTAGCTGCCCGCGTGGAATCCGTTCTTTGAACTAAGTAAGTGCTGGTCCCTGTGCCGAGCATTCGTCAATAGATAATGCCGATGGCTGCCTTCACGGACAAACTTCACGGTAGTTCCTGTCCGGCTGTCCTAGAGAGTTGTGTGCAGGGCAGCCATTCGACTGTCTAATGTCAAATAATTAATGCAAATGACGCCCACTGAGCACAGAAAGACACGCTATACTGCCGCTTTGGCCTCACTGACCGCAACCTAATTTAGTTGGGTCTCGCATAGTTTGAAGGCTATAGTCTGTCCAGGGTATATTGAATTAGGGTCTGTCCAGCATCCTTCTATAAACACTCAACAGCCAACATGTCTGAGGAGTGTCGAAGATTACCAACAGTAGACATAGTTAGGACTTAGGATGCGCGATGATTTATCAATTTCCTGCATATCAAATCCGGCTCATGATATGCTACATATCACTGACTTATGAGCTTGAAAATGATTTGGCCCTCACCTTACTTTCCACGGGGCCATAGGTTTTAAGCAGTGTAGCTCGGAAGTGCATATTGCTTACGCATATTGCTTACGCTTTCGTCATACATTTCTTGTGCTTTTTTTCACATCGTTTCTTAACACACTCGCCCGTATTGGTGTTTTGCTAGCCTCGAACGCTTTAGGGTGATGATGATAAGGGGGGGGGGGACCTCCTTGCCGTTTCGTCCCTGATCGAACTAGAGCTTCGCGGAAAACACGAGCGTGTTCCCCATGACGAGAGGAAGCCGATGATACCCAATTTCAATGTGCTGGGTCTTTGGTTGACCTTCCAGGTCAGGTCAATGAACTAAACGTCGAGAAAATCGGGACCTGGTGGCTGTTAGAAAGGCGTAAAGTGTGTCTGCTTAGGGGTTTTTCAGGGTGCTGATCACGAATATCATGTAAGTTTTGATCACAAATGATGTCTTAATGCAGTTAGGCCAGGTCAGGTCAGGCCACAGCTTCGTAACTGACAGCTTCGTAACATGTTACGAAGGCACCAAAACTACTTCGTAAATGTTCAAATGGCTGCCAAATTCGAATTCAGCTCCAAAAAGTAGCCCAGAAACATGTAAAACTCGTAGAAAAAGTGAACCGAGGTCATCAAAGGTCAATGACCTGACCTGACCTATAGGTGACCGTGACACCCACCCTAATACATGGGACCAACATCATATCACATGCTTGAACGCTTGAAACCACGAAAAGACTGCAAACAGCGGCTAATGCGAGCCGACATACCTACGCCGAATCGCGATTCCGGCCGAACATGGTCTCGGAAAGTAGGTCACGTATCAAAGGTCATTTGGGTCAGGGTCATGAAATTTTCAGGGTTGGTGTAAAACTGAATAACGCGAGGGTACTAAAAGTGTCGTCGCGATCGGCCACTTTTTACGCGAGTTATTTGCGAAAACCTTGGGGAGTCCGTTCGACCCCCCATACGGGTAAGGGTTAGCCATAATTTCAATAGAAAGCTATTTTTGCCATTTCTATAAAATGATACATTTGTAGCCAGAGTTCTCTGTTCATAGGACATGGATAATGCCCTAATTCTTATGCCGAAATATGTAATTCTCAAAGATTGAATGTGAACAGTCAGCTGCCTTCAAGCCGTGACAGTTTCCACTTATTCAGCTTGGTACGGGCGCATTGCGTGTTTCGTAGCGATGCTCATTCTCGTCCAACAGTGAGCTGAGGCAGGTTGTGTCTCAATCGATAGCGAACGTGATGCCGCCAGATGACTTGGACGTGTGTCTGGAAGCACACTGGACGGGAAAAGAAGTTTTAGCCCTCCCGGTCGCTTTTATTTTGTGGGATATTTTTCATAGCTGCAAATCAATTAAGAACGCACCACACATAAAACTACATAAAACTTCGAACTTCGAACTTCGATACAATAAAACTTCGAACCAGAACCAAGAACGCACCTCTTTGAATATGAACATTGAACATGCCTTTGTGTTTGTAACTACATTCAGTGATTTTTGTAGACTCCACGAAAACATAATAGGCGGTTGAGCCAAGAGATTTCACGCTTGTGATGGAGCTTCTGTCAACATCACAAGTGTATCGGCTCGATCAAACTTTCACACAGCCTATGATGCTGTTCATATCTGATAAATCAAATAATGCCATCGTTTTGTAAGTATGTAAATACATTTGATACTACACGTATAGATGATATATGACATCTATCCGTAATGACACGGGATTCGATGAGGGGAGGGGAGGGGGACTCGCCGCGGGTAACCGGAGTGGACCGAGTCGGTCACGTGCCCCCCCCCCCTCCCCCAGCGGCGCGCGTCGGCGTGCCGTCGGTGTCGGCGGCCGCCGGCAGGTGACTGAGTCGACGGCGGGCGGTGGACAGCGACGGTGTCGACGCGTCGGCCGGCGGCGCGAGCTCGTGCGGTGAGCGTCGGAAGAGGCGACGAGGACAGAAGAGGACAGGGAACTGTGGGAGAGGACGGGCGGATACAGAGAACTGAGTCACAGGTCACAGGTGAGTGGACAGCCTGCCCAGGGGGACTGTGGGAGCGTACGGAGACACAGCGCTGAGGTCACAGGTCACAGGTGAGTGGACACTGGACAGCCTGACCAGGGGGACTGTGGGAGCGGACGGAGACACAGAGCTGAGGTCACAGGTGAGTCGGCAGCGACGGGAACTGTGAGGGAGACGGGCGGAGGCCGGAGACATAGAACTGAGGTCACAGGTCACAGGTGAGTGGGCAGTCGGTCATGAGGACTAAGCGAAGGAGCGTGAGCGGCTTTATTGCGTTGGAATTCATTAAACACTGAGCAAAACGTGGTGGATCTGTTTTTGTGCATCAGCAAGCATGCATGCAATTGAATACCAACAACACCGATAATTGAATATCAAATGAACCAGCCAACTGGTTAGTGTTCACTCTCTCCCTGCAGTTCAAAGTGTGTTCTGTTTTGAAGTTTCACCATGAGCAAATGAGGTAAGATTGTCTGCAAACTACAAAGTCATGAAAGCGTATTTATAGATGCGGTACTGTTTGCATTAAAGTCATCATTTGCTGCTAGAGACATTACTCAGGCTAGCATGCAAAGTTTATAGGGCCAGAGGAGCAAAAACACATTTAAACAAGCTTCAAAGAAGGTTATGCAGTGATCTTACGATGCAGAGATCTGGCAAATGATAAGTCATATCAAGGCGGCTGATCAGTGATCGCAAGCCATTAATGCCATCGATTCGAAAGCTGTGTGGGTAAAAGCGGAGTCATAGTTTTGAATCTTTAAATTGCAGTTTTCCGGCACAATCACATAAAAAACACCGGCTCAAGAGCGCTGAGCGATGGATAGCCGCCAGTTAGCCTCGGTCTGTAAATTTATACGGCACCTCTGCGGAGTGTCATTTTTCAGTGCAGCAATGGGCGACTGGGATGTGTCTCCGGCGCTGTATAGTGGAGGTAATTCGGCGTGACACTGACGGCAAGCCGGTGTTTGTCACTGCCAGACTGCGAGTACACGAGTAATGCCGCCATTTGTCAGCGGCCCGTGAAGACAGAGTGAACTCGGCGTCAGGTGAGAGCACCTGGACAGTGAGCGTGGTAACAGGGGTTACAGGTCCTGGGCAGAGTGCGTGGTGCAGCGGTGAGAGTACTTACCTGGACAGTGAGCATGGTGACAGCGGTGATCGTTCCTGTCGTAGAAAGTGGTCGTTGATGGCTTACACACTATAAGTTGATCACTGAATAGTGGGCGCATTCCGTAACAAATCGGGTCGGACATTCCAGTTTCCATCGTTCATTGGACACGCTTCGTACTTTTGTCTATTTTGGGCGTGATATTAGCGATGACATTTGGTCCTTCTATATTTAGCAGACGCCACAGGTCCGATGTAGAAATAGCTGGAGGCGTGAGCGCTAACTTCCCGATTTCGTAAATACTCAATCAGGGCGTTATAGATCAGACAAACAGGCAAGGTAAGACCCGGCCCCTCCCGCCATCAGCGCATCTAGCAGCGCTGCCAAACAGAAGCCCTATACCCACCTCGAGCGATGCAATCTGACCGCCCCGACTGGTGTGTGCCCAAGCATCAGCACTCGGCATCGGGAAGACACGAAGAGACCCCACTCATTTGCATGTCTGCGCGTTTGAGCTGATGTCTGGGTGGAAAGACAATGCAACGGCTGAATGAAAGCACTGGCGTAAGGTCCAAAGCAGCTGATAGATACCTACTGCAGACGCTACAAGGTGATTCTACAAAATAATCGTATCTTATGCACTTACATGCATCAGCATAGCAGTTCATGTTGAATTATTAGTAATTCATGTTTATCTGATGCATTATATTTTCAATATGTGTTACGTTACTTTGAAGGTGTACGGTTGTGTAACAGCGCGGATGCATAATTTTTATTGAAATGCGCACAATCATAAAGCTGTCATTTAAAAGTGCATCAATCTAACTGAAAAGCACAATTGTCCGTGTCTATGCACTTATGCACCAAGCAAGAGAGTGACAAAATGTACATAAATACGAAAACAGTAAATAAACTAAAATTATAGTAGCTAAAAGTGAATGTTGAGCGATATGCAAGAGTATGAAATAAAAAGCTGAATAACTAGCCTGACGACAGCAAAACAGCAACCAGTTGACCTGATGCTAATCGGGGACAGCGTTCCCAGCACAGTGAAGCATAATAAGTCTTTATTCTAGAAGACGGGTGCCTGCTGCTACGTGGTATGGAATACGAATGCAGAGCTCAGCTCTTTCATTGCTCGGTACTTCTAAATTTCAACAACATTCTCATGCAATTTGAATATGATTCTGACCTACATATGGCAGTAGTAACTGCATAAAGTAGGTTGTGCAGCATGGACATCATGCACAGTCATACCTATCAGTTGAACAATTTAGCCAATTTGATTGCATAACGTTAGCCACATGAATTACTTATTGTATGCAAATTATGTTTCATACGTACTTCAAGAAGCATGCCAAAACAATTTTCCAGTCCCATATTTGAAGAACGTCTGGCAAATAGACACAAGTTACCGGTGCTGACAGACTGAAAATGATCAATAGCGTCTAAGATTTCATCTTTGGAAAGTTAAGTGAGCCAAGAAATTAACTTACTCCTTCATAACTAAAGCCCCTGAACATGGTTGCAGAGGCAGCAGTTTATTGAGAGACATGCCTGCTTATTCGCTTTTTGTTTCTGCCACCAGCTATAGCTATTGACTATAGTCAATAGTTACCGGCTACTCAGCGAATGTTGCGCTGCATTTCAAAGTTGGTCAGTGATCGGCGAGTCTGCCGCGGGGTGCACCTCGGCGGTCGGTTAGTCGTTCACTGCGGGAGCCCTGTCTAACTGACCAGTAAACAGGACACGCAGTCCAACGGGCCCCCGTAGATCGATTAAGAACACCAGCCGGAATGCAGTCGTCGTCAAATCGATGCCCACTGTAAATGGTGGTTGTCATAAGGTGTTCGATCGGGGACATCTGGACGCTAGTGACAATCGGGCGCAGAAATTATATAGCACTGCCACAATACCGAACTCCATCGCATATTGAGTGCTGGCATGACGTATTTTCCGAACATGCTGCATTAATCCAATCCTTATGCTTGCATAGCTGGCATAGCGTAAGACGCCAATTATAGCTTAACATAATTCAATTCATGTCACAGTATAACAATGAAGACAATCCAAATGTCACTGTGCTGTTATATATAATACTGAACGAGGCCGGTGTAAATAAATTTTCAAGACCGAGGTCCTTACTGGATTTTTGAACGAGGCCGAAGGCCGAGTTCAAAAATCAGTAAGGACTGAGGTCTTGAAAATTTATCACCGGCCGAGTTTGGTATGTATTTTACTGTATGCCAACGATGCCAACGATAAATTTATTTTCTGGACCGAAGCTCTTAGCCGACTTAGGAACGAGAACATCCCAAAATGTTGGCTTAAGTGCATTCTGGTAATGCATTTTTGACCATGGTCAATTTGCTTACACCAGTTATTACCACACCCCTCTGGCTAATGTATTTGAATAGACCAGGCATACAGTAATATCGCTTTTAAACCATCATTTTTCCTCCAACAATAAGTCGGAAATAACACACCGCCTCCCTAATGCAACATGTAGGCTATTGGCGCGCTAAAATCCACCATGCTCTCAGTGCATTTCATCGTTCTTTGACATCATCCTGCACGGAACGATTACACATTTAGTGCGGTGGCTTGTCGCGCGAGTGGCCGGCGGCTAAATTAGTTTCGTAACGATGTCGTCTGGGGCTTCAGTCTCAATTAAAGGCCGGTTTACTAGCCGGCCGGGTCGCGGCGAATGACGGTGACGGGACGGCGTCGCGCCCGTAACTTCGTAGCGCGACAGGAGGTCAGAACAGGTCACTTCAGGAAACGTTAAGCACATGGAATCCGTGGTACAATATGCCAAAGTTTGAGCGATGCTAGGAATTTGTAGTGGATGTCAGGTCAGTGCCTGTTTTGGTTATTGTGAGACATCTCGTTCTCTCTTCTTTCCTCTCCCCCTCTCTCTCTCTCTCTCTTCCTCTCTCTCTCTCTCCCTCTCTCTCTCTCTTCCTCTCTCTCCCTCTCTCTCTCTCTCTCTCTCTCTCTCTCTCTCTCTCTCTCTGTCTCTCTCTCTCTGTCTCTCTCGCCCGCTTGCTACCGCGCTTTCATAGCTGTTCAGCATCATGCTGGCATTACTTACACAGATGCAGTCGGCGACCAGCGGCGGACCCTCCGACCCCGTCTGCTCCCGTTCCTCCCCGCTCTGCCCCCTCTCTCTGTCATCATTATCCAGTGTCCCGACGGACGATGTCGGTCCGGTGCCCGCCGGGGCACGGTTCGAGCGACTTTTGCATGCTGCGGCGGCGCACGACACGCGTTTGATCCCACCGCTTCGAAAATGGCCGCCACACGCACCCTACAGCGGGCGCGCGGCCGGGACAGCAGTTCCGTGACGTGGCCGGAACGGGGCCACTGTCTGTACAGGTACACAACTGTGTGACAGGTGACAGGTAAATGGCAGACAGAGATGGGTAGAACTGCCAGGGGAGGCCGGGGTACACCATTGATTTTTTGACACCATTTTTTGATTCTTCCTTGACACAATCTTTTGATTTCGGCTAAATCATCTTACAGCTAAAAGTGACAAATGTAACTATTCTTGCTGACTGGAACATCAGGTCGCATAAATCGTCAAGTCAAGGCTCAAATTTGCTAGGGAGCGTCAACTTATTATGCAAGATTGACATTCTGTCGGCAGGATGGTAAAATGCCTGATAGTAAATATAATCCATACCGATTCCCATAGCCATATGCAACCATTTGGAAATTATAAAGATTAATGTAAAGTGGCTTCTTCAGGAAAGCCACGTTAATGACTACGTAAACTGACATCCAAAATGCACCCTACGCGTTTTTTGTTGTCGAATTGCTACCTCTCCTTCGCTCGGGCCTATCCCACAGTTCCATCTCCTCGTTCGGCGCACTAGCAGCGCGT